GGATGATGGATGAATGGATGGATGGAGGATGGATAGATGGATGGATGAAGGATGGATGGATGGATGGATGGATGGATGGATGGATGGATGGATGGATGGATGGATGATGGATGGATGGATGGATGAAGGATGGATGAATGATGGATGGATGGATGGATGGATGGATGGATGGATGGATGGATGGATGGATGGATGGATGGATGGACGGACGGACGGATGGATGGATGGATGGATGATGGATGATGGATGGAGTACTGTTAATAACGATTTTTTGGTTTAAATGAATGAACTGCAGTTCCACATCCTTTCCGGCAGGGGGCGCTGTGGCCACATAGGGAAGGTAAATGTGCTGCTTTGCTCACTGACGGAAACAGAAGGTCAAGGCAGGAAGGAAGAACACGAATATAATATTCAAACCATAGACATGTTAACTATATTATGTTGTTACTATGATGTTTTAGTTTTTCTACACTAAACTCTGCCTGCGGTTGCTGTAAACATAGGTTAAAAAGTACAAGTTAAGGTGTAGTTTATCTCTCTTTTTGTTAAAATCGCACCGTAGCTTCATTATTTTAATTTTTTAATTTAACATTTTTAATAAACACTGATTTATACGCCGAATGAAAAGGGACTCCTTTAGTAGCAAATTGGTTTCATATGTTTTATATTTTTTCTATCAGATATTGAACTTTGCCACAATGCGACGAGTTTTAACGAGAGTCGTAAACCGAGTTTTGATGAGCCAGCCATTTGCTCCGTCGATCACGGGCTTCGAAGCGGAGATTCACTCACATGGACGCAGAAAACTGGTGAGTTTAGACCATCACACATCCTGGAGCACAATCAACTGGGAGATATTTATTTATTTATAGGTTTCATGCAGTGTACTGCGTTTTAAGTAGCATTAGTTAGCTCCCACCAAACCTCGGCCAAAGACCGAGGAATTTAAGAATAGTTGAAGGTTTGTCCACAATAACTGTCTCAATATAAAAATCTTTAAATATTTTCCGAGTTTAATATTACCCCTTTTATTTCCGGCTAAATATTCATTCAGTTAGGTAGTGTAATTTAAGAGTTTAATCTATAATATATGTGTCAGTCCACCTGGACAAATGTTAAACAGGTGAGTGGTTTGGTGTCATTTTATAATTCTTTTAGTGAACTTTATTTTCCCTTTATCTTGGGAAGTTTCCATTTTTAGACCTAAAATGTCTTTATGCATCAGTAAAAAATAGTTTATGCCAGTGTTTTAAACATAATGTACTGAATTGAATTGAATATTTTGCTCATACAGCCTCATTATATTATTATTATTATCATATAACCTCAGTCATTTCTAAACTAAGAATTTGACTTTTAGCTGTTATTAGCACTTGTTAGGTGATCAGTACAAGTATGAAATAAAATAAATGTCTTTTTTTTTTAAAGATATTTCAATGTAATCTCTGAAATGGTCAAGTTAAATAGATAAAGATAAATAAGCTGCATTTAATGGGCTAAACAGCCGTTTTCTCTTACACCACTATTCATCCCAGAGCTTCTGTTTTTATTATTCTTTTTTAATATTTCACATTTAAATATTACATATTGTACCTAACTTTGCTTTAAATTTCTTCCCCCCAAATTCAGAGTATAAAAACTAAATTTGGGTCTATCTCACATTTAAGCTTTAAACCTAAAAAAATAAATTCTGTTCAAAAATAGTACTGAAAAAGCCAAAAACTTGTTAAAGCTAAAGAAGCCAAAATGGTTCATTAAAAGTAGCAAAAGTTTAGCAAAATGCTCAAAGTAGCAGAAGTGTTCCTAAAAGCTAAAAGTATCAAAAGATTTTAAGCAGCTTAAAGGAGCAAAAGACTAGCTAAAAGTTAAATGCAGCCCAATAATAACATAACAAAAGACTAAGTTTAGCAAAAATGTACCTCAAAGCTAAAAGTAGCATAAAAGACAAGAATAGAAATGTATCAACAACTTAACTAAAAGTAGCAAAATGCTTGCTTAATGTTTCAAATGGCAAGCTACAAGCTAAAATTAACAAAAAGGTAGCTGAAACTAGATATAGCAGTAGCTAAAAGCTAAATGTAGCTAAATACCTGAAAAGCTTTGGAAGACAAAAACAGAGCCAGAACGCTGAAGCAGATTTTACACAACAACGTTTCTGAAGAAACTAAAAAGATCTCTTAACTATTTCTGAGGGGGAAATCTTTGTAAAGCGCTAAACATTTTGAAAAATTAGTTTCAAAAACCCGAAGTCACAGCACCCGTCACCTGAATCAGCTGAATATTTGAAATGTGAATGGCTAAATAAACAATGTAGACGTGTAGAATATTAGAAACAGGGAAACGACAGTAATGTGTCGTTTCATCGGCCGAGTGAAACCTCAGCTGCACCGAGGTTCTGCTCGGCTGCAGAATTAAGCCTCTGTTCTCGTGTGTCCGTCAGGTGGTGGGGCTGGGGAACCGGGGGATGGAGGAGACCAGACACAGCGTTGGGATGGCGGTGCTCGGCGCGCTCGCCGCCCGGCTCGGTGTGTCCGACCGTTGGCGCGGTGACCGGCACGTGTCCGGTGAGGTCATCCTGTCCAAGGTCCAGGACACTGATGTGGTTCTGCTCCGTCCCAAGCTGCTGATGAACGTCAACGGAGTGTCTGTGGCCAAAGCAGGTGAGCTCATCTCTGTCAAAGGACGTTTTCGTGCTGGAGTCGAGCGACTTGTTTGGGTTTTCTGTCTGAAAAGAACCGCATGGTGACTAAATGTGCTTTTGTAGAAAAGTAACCAAAAAGACCTGATTTGTGTCGTGTTCCTCTGTTTGAATTTAATTTGTTCTTACATCTTTAACCGTGCCTGATCTAAAAACCAGCTTCTTTTCTTCCATTAACAGTAAAGTGTTGTTTTATAAGTAGTTCAGCCTGAACCTCGTCCTCTCAGACACGTCAGTCCGTTGAGCTGATTGTTGGTTGTTGTTGTTTCCAGCTGCTAAATACGGCGTCCAACCTGAAGACGTCCTGCTGGTCCACGACGAACTGGACAAACCTCTGGGGAAAATTGCCCTCAAGCATGGAGGAAGCGCCAGGCGAGTTTCTTTTGTGTCTGGGGACCCGAGAGGTGGACTCTCTTCATTTTCCTAAAAATGTGCCAAAACGATAAACTTGGTACAGAAAGTGGAAGAACTTTGAGGATGTGAGAGATGATGTTAATGTAGAAGCATCTGCTGTTACTTTGCAACTAAACTAAACTGGAGATCTTTGAGAAATGTTCACTTCTTCTCTCTGGATGGAGGAGTTCTGTCTTGTGGTCTCACTCTCTGGGAGTTGAACGAGACTGAGCAAAAGAGAGAGTTGAGACTTTTGATAAAACGTTTGAACTTTTCTTCTTCCTCACAGAGGTCACAACGGAGTGCGCTCGTGTGTGGACTGTCTTCAGACCGACGTAAGAAACTCAACACACTGTTGGTGCACGTTGGATTTAAACTTTGTTCCTTGATTTATAACTTTCTCTGAATTTTGACCTCCGTGTTTGTAATCCACCTTTTTGTATTGTGCTTTTGTAAAATAAAACAGAAACTCCTTTAAAGAGGAAGTATTTTCATGAACATGTTGAAGGAAAAGTCGAGACGAGTGAACTTCACACGTCTGTTAACGTTTTCTTGTAAATTAGTTTAAATGTAGAATTTGAGGAATTACATTTTCTGCACAAATCCTGTGAGAACACTAAGAGCTGAATGACTTGGCTAAAGTTTTTTTTTATTTTATTGATTTGTTAAAGTTAAAACTTGCAGAAAAGAAAATTAAAATAAGCAAAAACTTAATTAAAAACAAAAATTAGCAAAACCATAGCAAAAAGCTAAAATTACCTAAACTGTAGCCTAAAGCTTAAATTAGCCAAACTAACTAAAACCTGAAGTTAGAAAGTCTAAGTCAAAATTAGCAGCATAGTAGCTAAAAGCTAACCCAACAAAACTGTAGCTAAAAGCTAAAATTAACCAGAGTAGCAAAACTGTATGATTAACAAAAACTAACAGCTAATATCTGCAAAAACTAAACTTTGCAAAACCAGAGCTAAAAAGCTAAAATTAGCAAATCTGTGGGGTAAAATTAACAAACGGGTGCTTAAAACTCAATCTCACAAGACTGTAGCTATAATCTGAAAATGGCAAACTTGTAGCTAAAAACTAAACGTAGCTTATCTGTATTAAAAGCCTGATTAGTAAAATGGCTCAGCGCTAAAATTTGCTAAATTGTGGCTTAAAATTAACAAAGCAGTAGCTAAAACATAAACTTGGCAAATCTGTAGTAAAAGCCTTATTTGCAAAACCGCTACAAGCTAAAATTTGCTGAACTATAGCTAAGCTAAAATGTACAAAACCAGAGCTAAAAGCTAAAATTTGCTAAACTGTGATTTAAGCTTGACAAAGTTGTAGCTAAAAACTCAGTCTCACAAGACTAGCTTTAAGCTGAAAATAGCAAAACTGTCAAAGCTAAAATTTGTGAAACTGTGGCTTAAAATTAACCAAGTAGTAGCTAAAATCTAAACTTGGCAAATCTGTAGTAATAACCTTATTAGTAAAACAGCTACAAGCTAAAATTTGCTAAACTGTGGCTTAAGCTTAACAAAGCTGTAGCTCAAAACTCAATCTCACGAGACTGTAGCTAAACTGAAAATAGCAAAACTAGCTAAAAACTAAACTTAGCTAATCTGTAGTAAAAGTCTAGCAAAATAGCTCAAAGGTAAAATTTGCTAAACAATAGCTAAGCTAAAATATACAAAACCAGAGCTAAAAGCTAAAGTTTGCAAAACAGTAGCTAAAAGCTATAATTACAAGATGGTGGCTAAAAGGAACCAAAGAACACAAAGTTAGAGCTCTGGAGTAGATTTTCAGAGAACACTTTTTGAAAGATTTAAAGAGATCTAAACAGTTTTTTATTTGGTAAAGACTTTAGGTAAAGTGAAATCACTCGCAAACTATAAAAGTTATAAAGAGTAAAAGTCAAGTATGTTTGCATGAACCAGCTGTCAGATGTGTGTGTGTGTGTGTGTGTGTGTGTGTGTGTGTGTGTGTGTGTGTGTGTGTGTGTGTGTGTGTGTGAGTCTGTCTGTCTGTCTGTCTGTCTGTCTGTCTGTCTGTCTGTCTGTCTGTCTCTGTCTCTCTCTCGCTCTCTCGCTCGCTCTCGGCTGGAAGGAGTGTGTTTTGTGTCCAGACTACAGGAAGTGTGTGTCTTCTTCTTCTGCTGCTGCAGGTGATGCGCAGGCTGCGGGTCGGGATAGGGCGGCCGTCGGGGAAAACGTCTGTGGAGCGTCACGTTCTGAGCAGGTTCACGTCTGAGGAGAAGACGACTCTGGACTCTGTTCTGGTCCAGAGTGTGGACCTCCTCCTCGCTCAGCTCCTCCCACCTGACTCCACCCAGTCTGCCTCCTCTCCTGCAGGGAGGCAGAGGAGCAGCGCGGCTCAGGTAACGGATGGAACCGTTCCAGCTGCTCAGAGCTGACGCTGAACTCTAAACTCTGAAAGACGATGTGAGACGTTTCAAACGTTTCCGCGGCGGAGGAGGCGGAGGAGGTGGAGGAAGTGGAGGAGGCGGGCCTCTTTCGTTGATGCAGAAACTAGACTGTGCAACTTTTAGAAAAACTGAAGCTGCCCATCTTTTGTCTCCTACGAACATCTGAATCTACCGATGTGTTTGGAAATAAAGGCAAACGGGAGAAGCTCCTGATGAGCTCTTCAGGTTGCCACGGCGATGTGCATTTTATCTGACTCGGGCTGAAAACAAATCATGGAAACTTTGAATCCGCTGCTGTTTTCAGAAGAACTAAACTTTTAGAGACAGTTTTGTGATGGTTGGCACCGCGAGGTGTTCCTGCACACGTCTGTGAGACACTGGTTTCTGCTGTTTAATAAAAACGAGTTAAAAACGCACTGATGTTTCTGTAAAAGTCCGGCTGTCATCGTGTTGTTTTTCTTTTTCCTGCACGGGTTTTACAATCTAACTGCACCTGCACACTTTGTGCAAGGTGAGACTGGTCTGAGCAAGAACAGAGGGGGTGATATGCAGTCCTTAAAGGAATACTAGACGTATAATTCCTTTATTTTTAATTATTAAAAAACGAGTAAACGGGTCTTCCAGTCACTGCTGCAGATTAATATTTAAAAATACTTTCAGGCAAAACTGGATCTTTATTATTAGATTGAAAATGACTTGATGCTTAAATATATTTTAAGCAATTAAATTATTTATTTATTTATCATCCGCTGCTGAAGGCAAAGGTGAATGCTTTTGCCTGTCTGTTAGCAAATCATCTCAAACAGATTTAATAAAACAGAAAGTGTCCGTTGGATCTTCATCTACAGCTGAATGACTTGTAGTCAAACGGATTCAAGATGGCCGCCACAGCAGGCCGAAAGCGGACGTGTCCGTTTTACACACGCTGAGGTAAAATATGGAGAAGCTGAGAGTCGACCACAGCGCTGACTTAGAGCATGACACATTAAGCTGTTTATTTAAAACGTTGTCAGTAACTGATGCCATCAACCCTGTCTGTTAGCAAAATATCTCATGAACCGATTGTCAGATTTTAATTAAACGCCACAGTTTAAGATGGCCGCCTCAGCTATCGCTCAGTTTCCACTGACGTTACAGCTGGAGCTGAAATGTGGTGTGGTAGTAGCTGAGAGTCATCCCAGCTGAAATACAGCCCTGTTCACTGAAGGCTCGTCTCCTGGTTGTGATTCAGACGCTCCACGTGTCCACGTCCCTCAAACGTGCGCTCCTCCTCACGACCTGCTCCTCATTTGAGCCTCGCGGCTGCTCCTCTTCTGACTTGAAACATTGATTTCCTCTTCCGATCGTCACACTGATTACTTCTACATCAATTAGTCGCCCTTAACGAGCAGCATCCCTGACGGTCTCACTGCAGAGGAGGTGTGCGGAGGGACGCGGGACTCCTGCGGGGGAGGTGAGACAGAAAACAGGAAAGCGGCTGAAAGAGGAGCGTCGGCACAAAGGAGGCTGCAGCTCAGGACGGAGGGTGGAAGAAGAAAGGCAGGCGAGAAACAAAAGGGGGGCAAACATTGTGTGGGGGCCTTCTGTCCTGCTGCAGCCCCGAGTCACAATGGCTGCACGGACACACTTGTGGACAAGAGCGGAGAGGAGGATGGGGACCTCCACCCTCCAAAAACCTCCGCCTTTCTGTGCTGTGACCCTCTGCCTCCATCAGGCCACTTTCCCAGCCTCTCCTCGGCTTCACAGGCGGCTTCAATAACTTTTCTTCTGCAGGGGTCAGAGGTCAGCAGCAGGCTGGACACCCGGGCCTTTAGAGAAGACCTGAAATTTATTCAGGGATGGGACCCTCACCTAACAAACCTCCCCCCTCTGCGCCATGGGGGGTCTGCACGGGCACCGCACACACGTCAGCTGAGGCCGAGCCAGACGCGCCGACGTCCGGTTCTTAAAATTGATCGCTGCGTGTCAGAAATTAGAGCTCGGGTAGACCCGTTTTATAAATCCATCACTTTAATCTGTTAGTGGCAACGTTTGAATCATTAAATCTTGCACTTGTTGGCACTCAGAGTTCGTGTTGGGTATGACCCTCGGCTACTACCAGACCAAAGTTTAGCTTTTTTTATCTGTTAAACTCACGTTTTGTTGTGGCTAAGGTTGGTTAGCCTTAGCATCCAGCTTGAATCAATGAAGTCAATGTTCGCTCAGGTCTGCTTATTGGTTCATTAGATATTTTGCTAACAGACACTCAGACAAACAGACACGATCGGACACCTTTCACCTGCAGCAGAAGATATAAGTAATTAATGTTTGTGTCTCTTTTCTGCTAAAATTGTTCAGGTTTGGGACATTTGGATCAAAAATCTAATCATTTTAAGTTTTTCTTACTTTAGTGTTCACTCTCTGAAGAGGACAGCCGTGCCTTTTTTTTTATTTTTTTTTTTAGAAACGACTTTAATTGTGCAAGGCCTGCAGGAGCAGAAGATCTGCTAACAGATCAGATCAAAAGCAGATCGTTAGATTTTGTGTTTGGTGACGTTTGTAGTATATGAGCAGTCAGTATCTTACCTGCAGGAAACAGCAGAATTCACTGACTGCTGTCTTCTGCAGGTAAGATACTGATTGCTCAACGGTGTTTTTGTATAACTTAACTCTAAAAAAAACAATCTGTTGGGACATGTTTAAATTTTAGCAGTTTTTGCAACATAAAAACACTTGAAATAAATGAAAAATGAATTTAATTTGAAAGATTTGTGTTTCGAAATGCAAATATTCTTCACGAAGGTTTATTCTTTACAAATCAAATACATTTTCCACCTTTTTTATTTCATTTCCAGTACAAAAATTAATTTTGTGTCATGAAAGGATGCATTTATAAATATGAAGCATTTTCCAATAATAAAATAATTAGGTAATAAAAATTATTATTAACTTGAAATATATATAAAAAAGGAATTTACATTTATAAAATGTTTAATTTTTACATGGGCTATTTTAGATGATACGTAAAAATAATGTAAATTATAGATTAGAAGTACAAATTTATTCTACTTTCCAAGTATTTCATTTCTTTTCTATTTATTAATTTATTAATTTATTGGTGTGTGCAGGGTCACAGTGTCTGTGTAACCCTGTTGTTTATTGTTGTTGTTTGGATTGTTTTCCAAGCATCACGTCATCAGTGAGGGAAGTCTCCGCGAGCTCCATCTGTATGTGTGCGTGTGAGTGTGCGTGTTTCTGATTAATAAATAAAAAGAGAAACTGAGCTCCTTGTTTCTTTAAGAGTTTCTCTCCTTCATCGGCAGCTGCTCTCTCCCTCAGTGCAGATTCATTACTCCTCCTCTCCTCCTCCCCCCTCCCCCTCCTCCGGGTACAATGGGCATTTATCATCCCCCCTCCCTCCCTCCCTCCCCCCCGCCGTGCGTGTGTATGTGTTGATTCAAACATCAGTACCAGGAGCGGAGCGGCCCACTCCGGATCCTCTCTGTCGGTGCCACGGACGCGCCGGCGCTTATTGTCGGAGGAGCCCCAGAAAAAGGGGCCTCCGCACAGCCCGGAGGAGGAGGAGGAGCAGCAGGAGCAGGAGGAGGAGATTGAGGCGGTAAGACCCTCCGCTCGCACCCCGACCTCCCTGCATCCAGCCCGGGGGAGCATCCAGCCTCCCTGCCCGCCTCCTTCAGCTGGAGGAGCCTCCACCTCTCTCCTCCGGAACTGAGGGGCCAGGAGCAGCAGGAGCAGCAGGAGCAGCAGGCAAACCTGCGGGACCTGAAGTCTTTTTTTCTGGCAGGTTTGAGGAAAGACGCAGCTTCTTCTTCTTTTTTTTTTTTTCCAGGAGGAGGAAGAGGAGGAGACAGATGCGTCGTAACAGGTGCAGAGAGGAGGAGGACATGGCGCTGAGGAGTTTGGGACTCCTCCGTTTGTCTCCTCTCAGGTGATTTCTCTTTAGATTTCTGAGCTGCAGATTTTCTGGGATTACTTCTGATAAACTGCGGAGTCTGGATGATGCGTCGAGTGGACTCAAACAAGAAAGACTCAGTTTAAAAAAAATACATTTTCCTTTGGGTTCGTTAAGTTTTTCAGATTTATGAGTTTGTTTTTGAGCTCTAGCTGCTGATTGTCCAAACGCAATTCTTGTGAGATTTCAAATCCAAGCCGAGAATTGTGCCTGGACATCTGTTGCTGGATGCTCCTGCTCTCCTCCAGGGTTCCGTCTTTATTTTTTAAAACTAAAATAAAAATAGAAAAATCACTTCCTGCTCTCTGCATGTGGCTCATTCGATTACTTTGACTTTTTCACATCACCAATCCTCATTTTCCTCGTTGTTTTTCTCATGATTGGATGATTTTCCTGTCAGGGCCTTCAGAGGGCCACTTTTTATATTTATTAAAAAAAAAAACTAAATTATTTATTGAACTTTTGGCTCCTTCAGCAGGAGTTAAGGCCTCGGGTTTTGGTGACAAGCCTGCAGAAGGAGGAGAAAAAGGATGATAATGAAGTATTTCAGTATTTTTCTGACTTGCTGGAGTGAAAGTAACATTTCTCCTGCAGCTTCTTTCTTCACTTTCTCCTCTCAGATTGAAGGTTTTATTGTCGCCCCGCTGCTGAGCCTTTGTTACCACCTTTTGTTGGCGTTTTTGGGGATTATAATTTGCATAATTCTCCAGGAATGTATCATTTTAATTTTGTTTAACAAACCGTGACCTTTTCCAAGCCCTTTATCCTTTTGATAAAAGGCGCCATTACAAGCCAATAAAGACAGAATTCGTTTGTTCAGATTCTGCTTTAAATGAGTAATAAAGAATTAACACCAATTGGAAGAATCTCTTTTTTTAATGCACATTTGTCTTCTTTTATGTGTTTTCTGGTTTATTTCCTGTTTTGTCGTCATGCACTTTGCAGATTTCATTTATTTTTGATTCAGTTTGTAACAAAATAATAGTTTTGGTTTAAAGGAAATGGAATGAAGCTGAAGACAAACATTTAACCACAAGGCCTCATGATTCAATTTAAAGGCTCTAAATTTTTAGATTACTGTATATA